GTGTTCAGGCTATGTAAACCGATATGTCCGGTATTCAGATAATTCAAATCATAACAAAAATAAAAACCGGTTTTCGGTACAAAACGGTATACCTAGCTCAGCACTATTTCAGCTATTATTTAAAGGTCACAAATAAAAAAATGAAAAAGATGTGAAAACTGTTTTACATCTTCAAGTTTCTATAACAGAAAGTAATATCTAACCACTACGGGTGCAACGATACAGAAAATTCACGATTCGGTTCGATACTTAAGTCTCACGGTTCGATATTGTTTTGATACAAAAAAGAGAAATTTCAGTGGCCTTTTTAACTTGTAATTTATTTAAATTAATTACAAACATTTGTTTAGAAGTCCAGTTTTTAAATTAAATGTTGCTGAAACAGCAAGTTTCTCGGTGTATCTGCACTCAAAAATGCAGCCTAGGTGGAGTAGTCGAACACAGATACACTGATCCTTCAACACAGAGCATCTTCAGAAGACAAGCTTATAAAATAAAATTTAAAAATCCGTATTGTTCGATACAAGTGTGTATTGAACCTAAAGCTCTGTATTGAACCGTCCAATATGGGTACATGTATTGTTGCGCTCCTACTAACCACCCTATTAAAAGATGTTTTGTTAAAATCTGCATCGATAAGTTGAAGTTCCTGTTTTGTGCTTTAAAGCATTTTATCATTGAACAGAAATGAATCAACAATATTAAAAGTGAAAAGTTTTTTTAGTTTCTGGTGATATAAAAACCCAGATTCAATAAAAAATAATGAATAAAATAGAATTCCTGGGTGTAGACGAGTTTACATAAGGTGTTACGTTTGACTCAGAACTGTGATCTGAGACATTTAAAAAGGAAAAAAATATATTCCTGGTTAATAGTTTCATCACATTTTATAACTCTTTGTCTCCTAAGATATTTTTATCTAACCTGCATAGACTGACACAGTTATTGGATAACAGGGTTGTTGTGTAAAATGACAGCAATTCTGTTTTTAAGGGAATTTTTTTGCCTTTTATATGTAAAATCTAAGTTTGTTTTCTTTTCCATCAGACATTAATATGTAAAGTTAAACCAGTTTATTAACTAATAAATGTTTGAGACACTTAATAACATGAAGAATCTCTCCTGTTTTCCCAGGTCAAGTAAAACCATGAACCTTTGCTCCAAATGTTTTGCTGGTGAGTCTCAACGTTTTATTTTATCAAATAACCTATTTTATTCCAGGTTAAGACGTGGTTCAGATAAATAAGTGTTTAGAGAAATAATAAGATGATAGAAACTAATCTGAGATGTAAAAATAAAGAGGAGAGCAGTAAGTTGGTTTCTGGAGAAGTCAGGCTCAGACTTGTCAGAAACTGTTTGATTTTGTTTCATTTTGATGATCTAAAAACCTTTACACTGTAATAGGTGTTAAAAATAACTGTAACCTACTTAATTCTGCATTAAAGCTTTTTGTTTTGGCACAAAATCCAAATATGTTTTCATCAAACACAGACGTGAAGGTTTAGAATATTTTACCTTTTTGACTACATTTTATTTCTAACTAATCCCATTATTCTGCCTTAATGACGTGTATTAAATGCAGATTGATCAGAAAGTTGCTGTTTTTGTTTTGAATAATTGTCACCTGGTTTCTTGAATGCTTTGGGAGAAACCCAGGATGTAAATGACACAGGTTTCAGGTGATTTGTTGTTTTCGTTCATGTTTGTTTGTTTCTGTTTTGACAAGTCGGTGCATAGTTTCTCTGCAGGGTCTCCATCCGCACAGTTGTTTCTCACCTACGGAGGTGTCAGATTTTACTACAATGATTCAAATTCCCTCATGCAGCGATGCATTTCTGGCCCCGTGTGTGTGTGTGTGTGTGTGTGTGTGTGTACTTGTTTTTGTTTCATATCAGGACATCCTTTATGATAACACACCTACAATATCAGGACATTTGGAAAAATGAGGACAGGTTTTCATCCTCCTTAGTCCCATAAACCAGATAATGTCCCCATATGTCACATAATAATCAGATTTCACCAAAATATAGCTGTAGCTAAAATCTGAATAGATGAAAGTTTTTCTGCACGCTTGGATAGAAAACGTTTAGATTCTCAGGCCTCTAGAACTTTTGAAAAGGCACGTACCCATTTGTCCTGTTGTTGTTATACGTCCTTATTAGGGGTGTCCCGATCCGATATCAATATCGGATATCGGTCCGATATCAGCCAAAAAACGAGTAT